CAAGTATTAATTCGAAGGGTACAAAACAAGTTTTTAATCCTAGCGATTTGTTGTGAGTTATGTGGGCAGCTAGGAAGTTGGAGAGGTTCTTCTCACACTTAGACAAAGAGAGGAAACCGACAGAGACAGGTGTCTGCTCAGATTCAGGCACAAGAGCAAGGCGGGGCTCCTGTGAACTCTCTTCACGCCTGACATGTTTGTCAGAACTTGAACCATTGCTCACCTGGCAGAGGCCAAGCCTCTCACTTGTGCGCTGGACTCCGTTTGCGTTTGCTATTCAAGAACCTTTTTTTTCCATTGAATTTTCGCCAATCTTTAATTGTGATTTATCTGTGTTTTCCAAATTATTGCTATGTTCTTTATCTCCCATCTTAGAAATAAAAACACTCCCTAAATAATCTTTGACTCTCACAACCTCCCCCAAATATTGCCCAATTTTTCTGCCTTGTCTTGTGCAAAGGTCTTGAACAAATGTATTTGCTGAATTAACTTCCTAACTTCCTGGTCTCTCTCTGTCTCACCACACTGTTGTCGGAAGCTGCTCTTAGAAAGGTCATGAACAGTCTCCATCTTGACAAACGCAAAGATCAGCTCTCCGGCGCCGTTTGCAACCCGCCTCAGCAGCACAGGGTACCCTTGGCCAGTTTCCTTTGACGTGGCCTCCACCTGGCCTCAGGACCTCTGGCTCACGCCTCTCCTCCTTCTTTGGCCCCATCTTAGTCTCTTTTGCTTGTTTCTCTTCCTGCCCCTCCTTGAGAGGGACCAAGTGACTGGCCCACATTTCTATCGAGACTTTCTCCCTTGGACACCTCACCTCCATCTACAATTGGGTGGTTAATTCATTAATTAGATTCCTGCCTGTCTCCCCAGCAGGAGGCAAGATCGACAAGACCAGGGATGTTGCTTTGCTGGCCTTATTTATTCTCTCCATTTTTAGGAGACATCATACACTTGTGTGTGCAACCACTTTGCCAGGGGTGTGCATTAGCGCTCGGTGGATATTAGTTGACTTAAAGTCTGTCTTTGTACTAAGTTCTTACCGATGCATATTTTTTCAAAAATTTTTCCTTTTTTCCTTAACCATAATGAGAGCGTTGTCTCTTATTACTAATTTTCGTTTCTTTCATTGCTTCCCCAATTCCAGATTTGTCATTTTTGATTTAATTTTCCTACCGCCACCCCTTATATCTCCCTGCTCTGTCACTCCCCCCCGTTGGCTCTTCCTAGCCTCCATGGTGTTTATTGAGTCCACTGGCTTTTGAAAGTGGTTTGCATTGTTGAATTGTCTGCGATGTAAACACCCTGTATTCACACAGCAAGGTCTGACTTGCTTTACTGCGCATAATTCTCTCACACTTCCTCCATTTTGTTGAAAATGGCTCCATTTTTTTCCTTTCTCACGACCACACAGCACTCAGGTGTGGCCGGAACACCTTCTTTTTTTTTTTTTTAAGATTTATTTATTTATGAGTACAAGAGCTGGGGTACAGGTCAGAGGTGTGGGGGTGGGGGTGAGAGGATTCACCAGAGACAGAGTGGGGAACAGAACAGACAGACTGACTGAAGTACACTGCTGAGGGGAGCAGCGGGTGAGCCAGGAGAGGTCTGCTGCGCCAGGTGGGTAGCTCCCTGGCCGAGGATCGAACTCATGCTGCGGTGGCTGTGGACAGCATCATAGTGCTTCATCTTAACCCCTTGCCTGCCAGGGAGACCCCAGGCTGCCTGGTCTTGCTCCAGGTGTCGGCGACGGCCTGTCAGTCTTCTCCATTCCTCGCCACGGTCGGTGCAGCCGCGCTGCGCCCTGAGGACCATGTGGATCCTGTGTTGATGGCTTCTTATTCTTTGGATGGCTGTCCAAGCAGGGGCTGGGGGCGGTGGAATTCTTCAGAACGTTCTGAGTTGCTCTTTCTTATACTTGTCATCTAAAGTAACAGTTAACCTTTACTCTCCCTTACTGTGCGTCGGGCGTTAAGGCTCAGGACTTTGCCCGACTTATCTGACACGCGGGCAACTAATCTACTCTGGACGGAGCGGCCCTCCCTGTGACTAGAGGGCGTGTGGCTGGAGTGACGCGTTGTTCCTTCCCTGGTATTGTTGACACAGGAAAGGCCTTTGGAGCCACCGCACCCGACCTCACTTTCTCGGCCCTGTGTGTGGAGAGACTGGCACGGCCGTGCCGCTGCTGCCAGGCCTGAGCCAGTGCCAGCGGGGGACTTTGTCTCTATCCTGCAGGCAAACTGGGGGTCCTTCTCCAGGTGTCCTCTAGCGAGCAGAAGCAGCTGGAAGGGCCGCGAGCCCAGATGCAGGCACCTGTGTACCCCACTGCAGAAAATTGAGTTGTGCAAATGGCACCATGAGGCTCCTTGCCCACGTGCAGTCCCTCCGATCTCTAACCGCGTCACCCCGTGAGTCACATACCGAGGTTTCTGATTCACAGGCCAAAGAAACAGGGCCAAGGTCAAGACTCTGGAGCAGCAGAGGCAGAGGCAGTTCTTACATATCGTGCCCAACCTCATCCTGCCCCCCTGAGCATGCACGCAGACTCACAGGCACAGATACACATGTGCACACAAACACACATGTGCACACGTGCCCTCAGGACATACAAGCTTGGTTCTAGCCACACCGACATCCGAAGGGGCTGAAACAGCCTCGCAGGCGCGGATCCGGCTCTTCAAGGCCCACCACGCTCTCCTGGGTTCTGACCCTGCTCAGGAGATGAGCTTTCTCTGCACCTTCTCTGACTCCAGAATCCCCCACAACCTGCTGTTTCTACTATTTTGATTCCTGTCGGGTCCTATTTTGTTGTGAAAGACAAAAGCACGACTCCAGCTGGTTTGGGAGAAAGGCCTGGCTCTCCTGGCTTCGGGTGCTGCTGGGCCAGGGCTCAGGACAGTGCGTGTCTCCTCTCCCCGGCCACAGCCTTCGGCTCCCGTCAGACAGGCTCTCCCTGCGGGAGGGAGGGGCAGCAGGCTGGCACAGGCCTTCCCCTCTGCACACTTGCTAGAGAACCAGGAGCCAAGCCACCCACACGGACCACACAGTTCTGGTTCCTCCGGTTTCTGCGGGAGCCGGCAGGGCCTGGGTCAGCGCCATCAACCGCAGGAAATGGGGGAGGTGGGAGGAGGCGCTAAGCAATGACCCAGACATTCAAATCTTGCTGTCTTGTTCCTCCTTCCCAGTCACTTCCCCGCGAGTCCTGGCACTTGCTCGGCCCGCACTGCGGACGCCCCGCACACAGTCTGCCTCACAACATGGGCAAATTAAGCCAATTGTGATGATTCACGGAGTAGGTTTTCCTCAGTGACAAAACCCCTGTGTTGTGCTGACATAACAGAAACTGGGGGACCCAGCTGGGAGCAGCCCAACCCCCCTCTGCTGGGAGTGGCCCAGGGCTCAGCTGCCCTGGACACTGTCCCGGCTCAGGACACTCCGTGCTCCACATGTTCCACCCCCACTGCCCGTCTCCCAGGCTCCGCCACTGGCTCTGAGCACCGGCTGTCTCCCTTTCTGCTGAGGGGAGCAGCGGGGAGACAGGAGAGGTCTGCCGCGCCATGTGGGCAGCTCCCTGGCTGGGGATCGAACTCGCACTGCAGAGGCTGCGGACAGCTTCATAGGTTTCCTCTTCACCCCTTGCACCACCAGGAAGGCCCAGAACATCATGATTTTATTATTAAGTTCACAGAAGAGCAAACTGAGAGGAGGCTGCGGCATCACCCAGGCTGGGTCTCGGCAGGTGACCCTGCCCCTGCCCGTCCTATGCCCGGGACGCCCCCACTGGACACAGCTGGCTGAGAATTTAATGGTGACAGGAAAATGTTCCAGCCCTTTGAGAATAACCATCTGGCGAGGCAAATACTGATCTTAAACCAGATCATAAAATTGAGAAATGCAGAGGAGATAAAGACAGCCGCCCTTGGGACCGGCCAGACCTCAGCCTTGGCCTTGAAATGCAGAGTGCCACGCTGGCCGCCTTGGATTTTTCGATGGCCCCAGTTCTGCCTCCTCTAGTTGGGACCTTTCCATAAACAGCCTCCTGTGTCCTGGCCACTACCGTTGGCATGTTTCATACACTTCTCACTCCAGGGTGTGCCCTGGTGCCTGCAGGTGACTGCAGAGGCCGGTGAGGTGATACCCATGCTTAGCTGTGACTCCACAGGGGGTGCTGGGTGAGTGTGCCAGGAGGGCGCGTCTGAGTCACACGCCCAGCTTGCCCAGGTTGGCCCCACAGTGACGCGTGTCCCTATCTTGCGGGCAGTGGCCAGCCAAGGGCCTCTCTGTCACAGTGCCGGGAAGGGCCTGGAGCTCCCTCCAGGTGAGCAACACAGTGTGTGCCCCAGAGTCAGTTTCTGGGTGGGGACATTAGACCAGGCAATGCATCCACTAGAGTGCACCCCGATTATAGAAATTCCAGAAGGTGTGTGTCACTTCTCTATACAGTCTTACACCTAGTGCTCAGCAGAGCTGGGGTTCAGCTCCCCCCGGGTCTTTCCAACACGGTAGCCTCGCCCCTGCCCTGGACCATCAGGATTCAGGCTGCATCTCAGCGGGAGCGGGGTGCGGCACACCACGGGAGCCAGAGCGGGTGGCAGTGGGCCTGGAGGGTGATCAGACAGGTTTTATTTTTCCTGCAGCCTTGGGCTAATTGTGGCTGTTATTCCGTGAGGCCAGAACAATGCAGGCAGTTTTTGTAAGTCGGGCCTCGCTGATCCTGCAGCCAGTGATTTCCTGACTCTAAGACCCAGCGGGCCTGGGCTATTCAGGCTGACCCGGGTGGCCCGGGAGAGGGACTTAAGCCGCCCGCTGGCATTCAAGTGTTTCCAAGCAGGAATTGTGGAAGGGCAGGGGCCAAGAATCAAGGAGGGGAGGAAGTCTTTCTTCTGGGCTCTATGTTTTCCATCGCGTGTGGCCCTGGGTCCATGGGAACACAGGGCTGGCCTGTGTCCAGTCCCGAGGAGGGGCTGGGCGGGGGCCGTGAAGGTCAGAGAAACAGGAGCTGGTCTGGCTTGTTTTCAGGAGCAGTGGGTGGTTCTCAAAAGCACACCAGGCCTAGGGCCTGAACCACACCGGCCTCTGCACGTTTAGTGCTGCAGTGAAGATGCTGAGCCTCAGTTCCCCGTGGGGATGGCAAGGAGGCCTGGCGTGTCCTAGGCCACAGACACAAGCATCACCTGCAGGCTCGTGGGGGCGAGTGAGCAGAGAAACAAGTGGGTGAGTCTTTGTTACCCCCACCCATCAACAGGAATCCAGAACCCACCGGGAAGACAACAGCGACACCTCTGAGGTGAGAAGCAACAGCTCAAAAGGACTCCGATGTGGACGAAGGATGCGGATGAAGTCCTGGTCCCATGGGAGGGTGGAGGGAAGGTGGGGGGCTCAGGGCAGCTAAGGAAAGGGAGACAGACCTGGGGCAGGAGGAGCGCGGTCAGAGGGGGTCAGGTGGTGCCTGGTGAGCAATGTGGACTCATCATAGAGTCCTCGTAAAAAGTCTCCGGCGAGTTTCGCTGCACTAGAGGTGATGGCCGCGGGTTCAGAGAGGGAGGGTCTTGGTTTCTTAAAGAATGAGTCACAGACTCTCATCAAGTGACCTGAGATGCTTGTTCACAGCAGATTTTGAATCCTCCTCCACTTGCACTAGTGTGAAATCTTGGTGTCAAATATGGAATGTGCATCTTTCTAAATTCCTGGGTGGTTCCTAGATGCAGCTGGGGAACCACCCTCTGAGTTGTCCTTGCACTGCAGGGGCCACCTGAGGACTTGAAACCCACGTGTCTGTGTCTTACGCCCAGAGGTGGTGATTAAATCATTCTCGAATCACTGGGTCTGCACATTGGGATTTTGAAATTTCTGTAGATGGGCCGATAGTCAGCCTATTATGAAACAAAAACTAACTAGGTGCTCATATATACATGGATTTATTCCTGGGCCATGAATTAATTTTTGTGCCAATACTGTATTAGATAACAGATGTAACGGGCATCTATTATCTTAGCGTTGTGGCTCAGACGTCTGACACGGGTCTTAAGCTAAAACCAAGATGCCTGGAGGTTCTGGGGGAACATCTGTCCTAGCTCTTGCAGTTTCCAAGAACTTTTTGATAACACTGAGGCCTTTCTATATATAAGTTTGCATTGTTTCAGAGAATTAAAATTTTTTAAAACCTAAATTATAAGTTAATTAAATGAGGAGATGTGGTAAAATAATACACATTCTTTTGGCTCCTGATTTTCTTTTTCTGTCTCTTCAGGTAGCAATACCACCTCTCCCTGGTCACTCTGCAGTCCTGTGTCCCTCTGACCTCCATCTGTATCTGAGCACTAGGCAGTGGATATGGGGTGGGGGTATTATCCAACCACATCCCCAGGTTAATTAACTTATAAATTAGGTTTTAAAAAATTTGATTCTCTTATTCTCCAAAACAATGCGAACTTATATATAGTAAGTCCTCAGTGTTGTCAAAAGTTCTCGGGAACTGCAAATCCAAGCAAAACCACATACAACAAAACGAGTTTTACCACAGGCTCCCTGATAGGAACAGGAGCTAATTAAGCTCCTAGGACATATTTTTGGTCACAAAAAAACCTCTAAATAAAGACTCTAAGCAGCTCTGGTATTAAATAATCATTTGCAATCAGTCATTGATTCATTCTCCTACCTGCCAGTGGCAGCTCAGGGTCAAGGACCTGTACTAGGTACTCAGGGCAAGAGCTGGCCAGGATGCCTGTCCACTGCACTCTGCCCGTCCACTGCACACTCGTACACCTACACCCACACTCACTTCAAGTGCAGTGAGTGAGACACACCAGTAAATCTCACACGCACATCTTCAGATGTGGGAGGAAAGCAGATTTCCCGGGGAAACCACACAGGGTGGGGAGAGTGCACCCACTTCACTCAGATGGTCCCCAGTCTGGGAATCAAATTTCCTCTCCTCAGTGTTCTAACTGAACAACGTTGAGCAAAATGACATTGCTGGAGGTCTTGCGGTAGCATTATATAAATACCCATGTAGACCACATGACTCTGAAAATCTTCTGCTTGTCTTTTTATTATTTTAGCAGAATCTGGAAGTTGTGAAGTTAAAGTTGAGCAGATAGCTATTTATTCTGATCAACAGAGCACTGATCCCATAGCACTGGTTCTGTGCCAGGTGCCATTCTGAGCACTTCAATGCCACTAACTCACTGCACCCTCATGTAGCAGACAGTAGGTCAGTGCTGGTATTATTCCCACCTTATCATTGAGAAATGAGACCCAGCAAGTCTATAACTCACCCAGCTTTGCGAGCTAGGATGTGGTGAGAGTGAGTCCCCAGACATTTCAAATATTCTGCTTTCTCATGAGTTTCTTCACACTCACTGCCTCCAGTGACAGACTCCATGAGACTCCATGAGCTCTCAAGTGTAGAAGAACTTTTAGAAATATTTACTGCTTTCATTTGAGACAAGGTGAATTTGAGCATATGACTATCAATAATAATATTTGCTTTAAATATTTAGTAAAAGGAAATGTGAAACTGAATAAATGTAGGGTCTTAGCTGAATTTAAACATTTAGCTTGGGTTTGGTTATCAGATTTTCATTGGGTGGGACTCAGTGAGTCTGAGCTACAGCGAAGGCAAGGCCAGTAGCATCATACAGAAGACTCATGTCTGACCCACAGGTGCAAGCTCAGAGAGTTTGAGAGCAGGGCATGGAGTTTGAGGTCCTAGGTGGTTGTGAGCAAAATAAAAGTGCTTAGGAATTGTGATATCCCTGGTCAGGGGTGTTGATGTTATTTGGATAGACATTAAAGCCAAAATCCAGCATTAACCCAGTATTTATCTTCAGAAACACCCAGCAGAATGTCAGGAAAGGACTCCCCTTCTCTATGCAAGTGCAATATACAGCCCCACTGTCTATTTATGTCTCATTTATTGCACTGTGGGCATTGGGGAACGCCGGCAAATCTCCCCTTTCCGTAGAGGACTTCCAAGTCAAATGCATATTCACCAAAGTCTTCTTGTTGGAAAGACATTGATGATAAGGAAATAAAAGCAGAAAATCAAACATCCCTGGACCAATGCCTCCCCCAAATCCTCTTCATCATCACAGAAGCACCTGGAATTCATCCAGGTGGAGAAAACCCAATGAGTAGTGGCTTGGGTAATTAAAATTAAGGCATCGCTTTTCTTTCTGCTTCCTTGCTTATGGTCTAACTGTTGGGGTACAGTCTCTTTGCCCTCTGAGCTCACTCTTGACACTTGTCCGTTCTGATAGGTGTCCTGGGAAATTGTCTTCCATGGATAGTACCCTAATTCCTGATCCCTGGCTTCTCTTTGGACTTGGTCATTGGCATTTTCCCGCAAAATATATATATATATATATATATATGTACGATTAAGTAAGTAAATAAATAAATCAAGGTCAAACGTGGGATGTATTTGTTCTGGTGGTCCCCTCTGCCCAGTAATGGCTTGATAATCAGCATGTTCTTTACCACAGAAACTTCTCTGGGAAGCCCTCTCCTATAGCTCCAGCTTTTACTGGGTTCTTACAACTGCCCTTTCCTCTCCACCCTAGTGTGGCCTGAAGCACTTGTTCTAATAGGTGAAATCTAGGTGCAGGGATGGCTTAGTGAACAAAAGAGGAGGGATCCCCTTTTTTACTGAGTTCATGGGGAAAAGACAGAAGATAAACGAAGAAAAATTAAAATGTCAGATGGTGACCAGTGAATATGAATGAAGTGGGGAAGGGGCTAGTGAGAGTTGGGGCAGGGCAGGAAGTGTCTGAAAGGTTTTCAGGGAAGGCGCGAGTGACATTTAGTGAAGACTTGGAGAAAGGAAAATACAGCGAGAACAGCAGGCCCCATAGAAGGAAGAGCACCTGGACATCCGAAGACCAGTGCACCCCTGGTGTGCCCCTCAAACAGCAAAGGGTCAGCCTGGCTCCAGGCAAGTGAAGGAAGGCACAGTGGGGGCTCAGAGAGGTCCTGGAAGTGCTTCATATAGGGACTTACAGTTTGTTCTATGGATCTGGACTCTTATACTCAACAAAACAGAAACCTAATGGAGGGTTTGTGCTGAAGAATTCTGTGATCTGATCTACTTTTTCAAATAATCATTCTTGCTTCTTCTGCAGTGCATTTTTGATCCATAGGTTAAGAAAAAGGAAAACGGGAGTTATTTCAATAACTCAGAGAACTTACATTGCTATAATAATTTAATTACAGTTTTATGATGCTGAATGTCAGAATGGAAATAGTTAAAAATTGCCAAAATCTGCATTTATGAAGGAGAAACTAACAGGATATTCTATATTAGTCAGTTTCTCCAGAGAAACAAAACCAATGGGATATATTAATCTATTGATTTATCTGCCTGTCTGTCTATTTATCTATTTATCTATCTCTCATCTATAAAGAAATTTATTACAAAGACTTGGCATACATAATTATGGGGCTGAGAAGTGCCAAAAGTGGCTATCTAAAGAGTCTGAAGGTCTGAGATTCCTGATGGTACAAGCCCCACTTCAAGTTCAAATATGGGAGATCTAGAAGAGTGGATGACATAGATTCCAGTCTGATTGAAGGAGAAGATTGCTAACCCAACTCACAATAGCCAGGACTTGGTCATTGGCAGTTTTGGTGAAAAGAGTTAAGAATGACTGTAAAGTTTTTACTTGGCAAACTGGAAAAATTAAGTCACTAAAATTGAAATAAAGAGGTCTTAGCAGAGAGATGGGCAAGGGAATAGAAAATGGCAAGAAGTTAGCTTTTGTTATTTCTGATTAGCAATACTCTTCAATCTCCAAACAGACATGTCACGTAGACAGCTGGGCTGACAAGTCAGGATTCAGGAGCGAGCATCAAGTCCAAGTGAAGAAAGAGCAAAGTCTCAGGCTTGTTGAGATGTCTTGAGAATGAAGAAGAACAAGCTGAGTGAACTGTGAAGAGTTTACCCCAAAGGAAATTAAGAGGGTATGGTGTCCTGTAAGTCAAGTGATGAAAGCTGACCAGGAGGAGAAAGGGAGATAGTACATTAAGTGCTTACAAGTCAAATCAGATGAACTGAGAATATATCACTAAATTAGCAATATCAGGTCCCTGGTCCCTGGAAAATAAAACATAAGCATTATCTTGGAACAATGGAGTGATCAAAATGGTACATTGAATTCAAGAAAAAAACAGGAGGAATAAATTTGGAGAAAACAAATGGAACCACTCATTGAAAATTTAATTGTAAAAGAGAACAGAGAAATGGAGTGATAACCAAAGGTTAAGATGTAGAACAAGTGAGGGTTTTATTTTTTCAATGGAAAAATATCATATAAATTTTTAATTGGACTGAGCTAGAATAAAGGAGAAATTGATGATGTAGAATACAAAGGGAATAATTGCTGGTTATGTTCTTGAGTAGATAAAATAAAGGGCCATTAAAATTGGGCTACACAGCACCTGGCCCATTGAATTTGGTCCCAGGAAAATCAGAGATGACTTATTTAGAGCCTTCTCAGCAGATTAATGCAGGTCAGTGATAAAGGATGATTCATATCCACTTTCAATGTATATGTAGCTATTCAGGAATATTTTTCTTGAGTAGAAAGATGCACACACTCATTTTCCTAAGTGGATACCAGTGAAATATGCAGATGCGTGACTCAGTAGTGTAAGGAAAACTCTTGGGCTGGGTGACTTTGTTCTGGGTTGACATAATCACCAAATTATGACAGTTCAAGTTGTAACCTGTTCTCCCTATGGGTTACCTGGTGAGTACAATTCCTTCCTTCATCGGTCTGACGGTAGCACTTTATGTGAGCTACGACAGATTTCATGGGCTCCGCCACTTTGTCTGTTTCAGGTTAATCATCTGAGTTTTTCAGACAGTCTTTCATTGCTTTTATTTTCAGATTGCCCAGATTGCCCACCAGTTTTAATGATTTTCCTGTAACCATGCCAATGAAGTTTTGATATGTGATTCTTGGAAGAGGCCTCAGGATCCTGATTTGATCTGACCACCTCACGTTAAGTATATGTCTCACTCTTCGTTTATGCTCAGGTAGCCTGAGAGTACACTAGGTTTCTAGTTGCGACAACATTCCCACTAGGTTTCCTGGTTGCAACAATATTCCCCTAAGACCTTGATTTGCATCATCTCATCAAATACTCCCAGTCATCCTGGGAGTACGTAAAATTCATATCATCTCACAGAAAAGGAAACTGAGACTCAGCAAACTTACAGGATGTGTCCAAATCCTCCAGGTAGTAACTAACCTCAACCTGTTGACACCAGGTTGCAGAACCTGGATTTTGCCATTGCTCCAGGCCTTCCCCAGACTGTGTGACTGGTGGTGCAGCTATGGGTGAGGCAAGAAAAGCTACACAATGTGGTTATGAAACTGATGAGACAAAGAAAATTTTGCCTTAAAGGATGAAAGTTATTCTAGCAATCCTTACGGTCAGGAGTCTTATTCATGGATGTGGCTTTTTCTACGGGGTGAGAGTTGAAATGCACCAGGAAGTGGGCTCACTAGAGGGAAGTGGTTAGTTAGTTTATCATTCCTTTCCTTTCACCTCCCAAGGTCAACACCCAGAACCGATGAGCCACTTCCTGCCTGAGGGTGTGTGAGGAATGGAGCTCAAGAGCCACGAGTCACTGCCGACCAGGTAGTTTTAGCCTGGGTAGCCATTGAAAGCAAGTCTTTAAAATGGCATTTTCAAGGTAATGTTTCCTAAATGAGAAGGTGAACTTGATGGCACTGTAACTAGAGCAGAAGTGAAAACAAAACAAAACAAAGCACAAGGAGTCATCCAAGCAAATGGTCATCGAATGCCCCAGCAGAGGAAACAGAAGCCACAGAAGATCCTGATGAAGCCATCACCATGGGAGAACGCTGTGATTTAGCCTAAAAACAATTCATTAAAAATTTGGAATTTCAGAAATAATCACTGCTAACCCTAACAGACAATCTGGTAGCCTCTTCTCCTCAACTGATCTTGGGCACCAACCCCAGTTCTGGACGCTCTACTCACCTCCCATCCTTAAGCCACTGTGAGCTTCACCAGGGTAGAGGGCAACACTAGAAAGGTCACCCCAAATTACACCTTGCATCAAATTGGCCTTGTGAAAAGGAAGGTAGGACGCCCTCCTGTTTTGAGAGGAGGGCGCAACTCAGGACGTGTGAGCTGGAATATTCAGAGGTTGGGCGCATCCCAACAAGGATGAAGGTGCTCCTGGGGGAGGCCTGTAGGCGTGTCACAGAATACCCACATGCCATTGTTTTAACTTAGTCCCCCCGCCCCTCGTTTCTTATTTGAGGTAACATTAGTTCACAATGTTGTGATTTAAAGGTATAGAAGCTCCCCTCAGGCCTTGTAACCACACCCCGCCCACCAATGCAGTCCTAACACCCACAGACCTCCACCCTAGTCCACAGTGCTCCCGCCACGCTTTCTCAAGACCCTCTCTCCAAATACAGTCGCATTCCGAGTTAAGGGGCTTAAGAATTTAGTTAAGGGGCTAAGTTAATTTAATTGAACTTAGTGGGGTCACAATTCAGCCCCGATATTTTCTGTGGTAAAAATACGTAGGCTGTGACTTCATGATGAAAGGGCAGTACCCTCAGCAGCAACTCAGCTTTCTCCCGCCTTGGGGCACATCTGCAGAAGGCCAGGCCCGCCTGGGAATCCCAAGGGCCAAGGGAGTGATAGCAAGAAGGAAACCGGGGAAACAGGGACGGCGCGTTTCCCCTGACAGAGAAGATAAGACAGGAGGCCGCGCGGGCTGGGGAGTGTCCGCCGGGCAGCGAGGACCTGGGTGGGGCTCCGGAGTGCAGAATAATGATTTTCACCAACCAAAAGACGGCATCAGCGGCTTGACTTTTATAAGATTTCTCTTTCCCTCCTGTGAAATGAGCTAATGATAGTCAACTAACAGGACTAGGGGGAAGGTGAAATAACGTAGTGCTTAGAAAGCCTTTTTCGTCATGCTGGACCCATCCCAGGGATTAAGAAGCGTGAGTTGTGTTTGTTAATGAGAAATGATTGCTACTGTTACTTCATTGAGCATTCTTTCACGGAGCAGGATTGGGGAGCCTGCTTTTGTCCTCGTTGTGAGACCCACATCGTCCCTGGGGTGGTCTGGACTCTTTATTAAGGGTCCCTCTGCAAGCCCATGTCTGCACGAGGGGGCACAGGCCGGTGGGTGAGGCCGGGAGACGCGTGGAAACCCTCCCACTAGGAGCCCAGCAAGTGCTGCTGCTCAGGCTGGGTTCCTTCTCGTTGCTATTATACACTTGTTCGCGCTTCAGTAAGATGGAAAATACTCCTGAGAGCTCTCACCTCCTCCACTCCCACCACACAGGGTTTGTCCTGCGCTCAGACCAGGCAGCTTCTCTCCCATGGACTCCCCCAGCCCCTGGGGGGGCTTCTCTCCCCCTCTCTGACTTGGACATTTCACTCAGACTCCCGCTCTTGGGAAGCTGCTGGGGAATCAGTGGCGTCTCCAGGTGATGATTTGGGAAGGGAAGTTCTCACCTTAGGGCTCTACCCTGTGGTTTGCTCTTCTCATGAGCCCCTGAGGAAGGAACTGCTCAGACTGAATGTTTGTGACCTACCCCCCACTTCATAGGTTGAAGCCTTGAATCCCAATAGGAAAGCATTTGCAGATGGGAACTTTGGGAGGTGATTTGATGCAGAGGAGGGTGGGTGCCCTGGAAGGGATGATGAGAATTCAGGATGAGGGCCCAAACCAGGGACCCGGCCGTGACTGCACACTGACCTGAGATGGCCAGTGTCCTCCCCCAGGGTCATCCCCAGGCCCAAAACCCTGCACTCAACAGAGCAGCAGCAGCAGCAACAACGACCTCTGTGTTCCCATTTATCAAGCTGTTTTGAGTCCAGGACACCGAGGCTGTGAAAGCTGTTTCTGACACTGATCAGAAGCTGAAGTTCTCTTACTTGCAGGGATTTTATTTTTTCTATTTTCATTTCCCATCCCCAGAAAGGAGGCACTTTTCAGAATAAGAGACCATCTTAACTGAGGCGTGGAGAACTCCTGAAGTACCAACTGGGCCACTGACACACGCAGGGAGGGCACACACACGGGGCACACTGCCTGGCACCCTGCCTGCTTAGCCAGCCCCGCCAGGCCTAGGCATGTCAGTGCTGATTCCAGGTAGAACCACCCCCCACCCCAGCACAGGGCAGTGATGTCTCTCAACTAAAGAGAAGACCACCAGGTGGGAAGTCTCGGGTTTTGATTTGGACAGATGCTTCAAACTTCAATCCACGTCCTGGGGAAAATAGGCAAATCTCACTAACTTATTTTCTTCAATCCACGTCCTGGGGAAAATAGGCAAATCTCACTAACTTATTTTCCTCAACCTGAAATGGAGAAATAACCTACAAAGTGTTATTATATTGGCAATGCTTGCAGAGCTCCTGGCACAGTGTCTGGCACAGAGTAAGCACTCAGAGAATGCAATCAAAGCTATTTAAAAATATAAATCAGTATATTGGCTATTTCTAGAAATGTATATTATGTTAATAATATATAGAATATGTAAAGTTATACACAATATGTTTAGACTTATAGGATGTATTATATAAATTTATTTATAGTTAAATAGTAAAAACCAATGGAAAATATGAATATCAGCAATTCCAGAACTGAGACTGCAAGCGGCTTAAGGTAGAATGAGGAGCCCAGGAGAGCCTTAAGCAGCCCCTCCTCCCGGTGCGAGTAATTGGGCCCCTGGATGTGAGGAGGTGTTTATGAAGGTAAATGAGAGGGTAGTTGCAGGAAATGAGGGAGCGTAACATTCTCCAGAAGCCATGTGCTTGGAGGGGAAAAGCCAGGGCTCTTTGATATAGGTCAAGCATGAAATTTCAAGGTTAATTAGTTATATGTTATATCATGAAGGTCAGGCCACTGCAAAGCTAAAACCTCTCTAAACGCAAATTTATTGAGTATCTTTAACTTCAATTAGCCTTTCATGAAATGTTAGGGCTGGAATATCCCACAGACATCATCCAAACACTGTGACCGTGGCCTCGACTGGGATCTTTCTGACCATTGGGATGGGACAATTCTTCATTATCCTGGACCGAGCCTTCTACCGTGGGCTGTTCAATATCCCTAGCCTCGCCCACTAAATGTCACCATGGCAATAAAATGAATGCCCGCTTTCTAAAGCCGCTGGGCTGAGTAACACACTCACACCACAGTGGTGCCCTCTCTCACCCTTATTTTTCAGATGAGGGAAGATTCAGGAAAAGGAAGTGTTTTACTCAATTTCAAACAGGTGTTTCCTCTTGCTTTTAATTCTTGGACCAGGAGACTTTTCAGTTTCACTGCTACATCATGTATTCGTAAGTACTTTGAATGAGTAAGTCCTATGACCAACTCCAATTTCTCTGAGAATCAGAAGTTAAAATGGGAGAGAAACTTGGAATCCCTCTAATTCAGCCTCCTTATTGGCCAATGAGAAAAGGATTGGCCAATGAGAAAAGGATTGGTGAATCTTTCTGGTAGGTAAAATTCAGGCTCTGGGAGAATGGAGACCCCTGGAGCCACGACTGAGAGACACACACCTTGGCGAAGAAGGCTCAGGGTAGAAGGTTAATGTTGGAATTGACACAGGTTGGAGAAGAAAAAGTCCCTGCATGAACTTGTGATTCTACTCTGGAAGACAGTGTGCGTAACATGGGTGCACTGGGAATATGGTGGGGGGCCGGGTCAGGCACTTTGCAAAGGAAGAAGGATAGTTGGTACCAAATTCATAACCAATGGCCAAAAACATGAAGCTGGGGCTTCACCCAGGGTGTCTGGGTGCACACGCCTTCAGCCTGGCAGGAGCATTTGTAACTTTGTTGGCTCTCTTCAGTTGACACCTTCCTATAGCCCAGGGCCTTGCTCTTTCCTGGTGTGTGCAGCCCTCCCTCTGCCCATTAGCTGAAGTCACACAGATAGTGTCCACGGAATTGGGATCCACCAAAGAGGTATCAGATTCTCTCCATATAACATGCTCTGTGACACCTTCTGCAGATACACTGATAAAGAAAGAAAGATTGTTGACTTGGAGGAGCTCAACCCAATGGCGAGGCTGGGGTGAAGCTGACATTTTGAGTGGTTGAGCAGATTTCGAGGGTTCTCACTGAATGGTGGAAGCTAAGAAGGAGAGGGGTCACCTAAGCCAGTCGTTGGTGGAAGATTTCAAGAGAGGAGATTTGCTATCTGAGCTTACTCATGAAGAACTGGTGCATGTGAGCTGAGGAACAAGGGGCCAGGGAGGAGTTGGGACGTGATGCTGGGAAGAAGTGGGGGCTGTTGGGGGCACAGAGACCCAGAAGCCACCAACAAGGGTCTGATGTGGAGCTACCAGCACCCCGTGTTTCAGGAGGTGGGCGTAGAGATACTCCCCTGCCTGGACACTGCAGGCTAAGCAGCCTTCTGGAATAGGGAGGCACAGGCAACATGGCAGAAAGGAGCCGCCAGTGCCAGAGAGCCATATGCCTGGACAGTGAGTCACACAGGGGGCCACTCTCCTTCACCCCCTGACTATCTGGGAGCTAGACAGGTGGGCGATGGGAGACACCGGAGCAGGGCTGGCCTTCCCAGCAGTTTGCGTGGCCCCTTCTGTTCTGGGCATTCTCTCCCTTGGACACATCCCCTTCCTTCTGGGCTCTCTCGCACCCTCCTCCTCAGCTGTCTGTTCCCACGTCTGGACTGCTCTGGTGCCTGATCGTCCGCTGTCTCCCATCAGGGTTTAAACTGGATCTGCTGCTTCCGAGCTTGTGACCATGGCCAGTGGGCCTCAGTTTCCTCCATTGTACCCCGGGCATCCCCAGGGAGGGTGGAGACCCAGCGGGGAAGGGGAAGCTGGCGTGACCTGTGCTGCCACAGACACCTTCCGCTATCGTGCGGCGTCCTGAATGGAGAGTTGAGAATAAGAGTTTACCGCAGAGCTCCAAAGTGTGGGGGTTCCCTCTGTGTCACTGGGAAAAAAATACAGTTATTTGCATTTAAATACAAGTCTAAATCCCTTCCGTCCAAAAGCGGTAATAACTACCCTGAATGAATTATACATTTGCTAATTTTAACCGGGCTGTTTTATGGAAATGAGGTTATTTGTCCTGCCTGGTTCCTTCTCCTCTTGTCCTATCAATGCAAAGGCCAAGGCTGTGATTTACCCAGGCCGCGCGCACCCCGGCAGAAACGCGAGGGGCCTGGCTCTGTCGCTTATTTATCTCACTTATTTAATCATTTAAATGTTTGCCTCACATTTGAAACACCTTAAGTTCATTACCTGCAAAAGCCCCTCCTGAGGAGGGAAGAGAAGTAACCGTGTGGGCATTTTATATTTTCCTTGTGACCGGCCGACCACCGTTTATTTATCCAGCAGCGACGCGCTGGTAAATCCTGAAGAAATGTGATCTCACTTGCAAGGGTGCAGTGTGAGCTGATTTGTATGGGCGGCCTGGTATCATTTTGTGAATGTAAGTCTTCCGCAGTGTTTCTAGTGGCTGTGCCCAGAACCTGAGTGTGTAAATCCAATTTACATGCTCAGTGACAGCCGTCTGAAGCGCGCCGTCTCGTGAGCATGGCCACGCTTGGGTCTGGAGTCCAAGCAGCCACTTCCCTCCGGCCTGACAGCGGAATGTGTGCCGTGGGGTGAGGGGCTGTGGGGCCAAGGAGGACATGCCTGCACACCCAGGCCTCCATCACACACTCTGCTCCTGGGGATGGGGAAGGCGGGTGGGTGGGAACCGCCACGG